AATCCATCCGACTCTGGGGTCCAAGGACATTATAACGATACACATTGACATGCCCCTTTTACTCAGACAACACAACTCAGAACTTTGAACAACTCAGAGACCGAGCAAGATTTCCGAGATAGAAGATGGTGTGCCCAATGTCACTTGTATGAACTGTTTTCATTGTGTTTGGCGCTTTGGTGGTTTAAATGACAATTTCAGTCACATCAGCAATACTTTACTGCACCTGTATCACTGCCTATGGGTGTGGTAGTCACCCATGTTTTTATCCCATTTCCTGCTAACCTGCCAAAATGATCTACTGTCACGCACCACAATACTTTCACTTCACTAATATACTGAATGATACTATTTATACTGAATTCTTCCTATTTATTATGAATAAATTCATAATAAATAAATTCATAATAAATTCATAGTGTGTTTGTGTCTGCAGTGAACTGTATTATGTATGTGTGTGTATTATGCACACACCATATTTTCCATTGTTCAGACATATGTGTGTATCACTTATTACACTTTACAACACACACACATTTTGGTTTGAAAAATTCAATTACACACACATATCATATAAGTAGAGAGGTCATACTTCTATGTACTTCTGCTTTTTTTACACAATATTTATTGTGATCATGCATGATCTCAGGGTATTTTTCAGCAATAAAAACACATCAAACACATCAAACACATCAAAACTGAGAACTGATTAAGTGGGCAGAGCTAACAGTTCATTTGGAAATGTTCTTTACTCATGGTTCAAAATTAGTTACAGGGATTTAATGTGTCTGAAATAAATCCAGAAGGAATTAATCAACATTTTAAAGGTGCACTGTGGATCTTTTTGGCTGGGGGTCCATCACCTGCTTGTTTCTATGGAGATGTTATTGCTCTGTCTGGAATGTTGGAAATAATTCAGTTGCAGGTGGGTTTATAACTCAAAAATACCTAAAAAAACAGAGTGTGAGCAGGGTCGCCTCTCCACAGATCTGACCTCGGTAATTTGGTCTGGTTTGGTCTCCATGAAGATTTAGAAAGGTTTAATACCATACTGTGAAACATTTCAGACAAAACAACAACATCTCCATTCATCCATCCATCCATCCATTTTCGTCCGCTTATCCGGGGCCGGGTCGCAGGGGCAGCAGCCTAAGCAGACTTCCTTCACCCCAGACACGTCCTCCAGTTCCTTCGGGGGGACCCCGAGGCGTTCCCAGGCCAGTCGAGAGACATAGTCCCTCCAGCGTGTCCTGGGTCTTCCCCGGGGCCTCCTCCCGGTGGGACATGCCCGGAACACCTCCCGAGGGAGACGCCCAGGAGGCATCCGGAACAGATGCCCGAGCCACCTCAACTGGCTCCTCTCGACGTGGAGGAGCAGTGGCTCTACTCCGAGCTCCTCCCGCGTGACTGAGCTCCTCACCCTATCTCTAAGGGAGCGCCCAGCCACAATGCGGAGGAAACTCATTTCGAGCGCTTGTATCTGCGATCTCGTCCTTTCGGTCACTACCCAGAGCTCATGACCATAGGTGAGAGTAGGAACGAAGACTGACCGGTAAATCGAGAGCTTCGCCTTTCGACTCAGCTCCCTCTTCACCACAACGGTCCGATACAGCGACCGCATCACTGCCGAAGCTGCACCGATCCGCCTGTCAATCTCACGTTCCATCCTTCCCTCACTCGTGAACAAGACCCTGAGATACTTAAACTCCTCCACTTGAGGCAAAGACTCCCCACCCACCCGGAGAGGGCAAGCCACCTTTTTCCGGTCGAGAACCATGGCCTCAGACTTAGAAGAGCTGATCTTCATCCCAGCCGCTTCACACTTGGCTACAAACAGCCCCAGTGCATATTGCAGGTCCTGGTTCGATGAAGCCAACAGGACAACATCGTCTGCAAACAGCAAGGATGAAATCCTGTGGTCCCCAAACCGGACCCCCTCCGGCCCCTGACTGCGCCTAGAAATTCTGTCCATAAACACAATGAACAGAACCGGTGACAAAGGGCAGCCCTGGCGGAGTCCAACATGCACTGAGAACAGGTCTGACTTACTGCCGGCAATGCGAACACAGCTCCTGCTCCGGTCATACAGGGACCGGACAGCCCTTAGCAAAGTGCCCCGAACCCCATACTCCCAGAGCACCCCCCACAGGACACCACGAGGGACATTGCCTTCTCCAGATCCACAAAGCACATGTGGACTGGTTGGGCAAACTCCCATGAACCCTCAAGCACCCGATGGAGAGTGTAGAGCTGGTCCAGTGTTCCACGGCCAGGACGAAAACCACATTGATCCTCCTGGATCCGAGGTTCGACTATCGGCCGGATTCTCCTCTCCAGTACCCTGGCATTGACCTTACCGGGAAGGCTGAGGAGTGTGATCCCCCTATAGTTGGAACACACCCTCCGGTCCCCCTTCTTATACAGAGGGACCACCACCCCAGTTTGCCAGTCGAAGGATACTGTCCCTGACCGCCACGCGACGTTGAAGAGGCGTGTCAGCCAAGACAGCCCCACAACATCCAGAGACTTAAGGTACTCAGGACGGATCTCATCCAACCCCGGAACCGTGCCACCAAGGAGCTTGCCAACCACCTCAGTGACTTCAGCCAGGGTGATGGACGAGTCCGCCTCCAAGTCCCCAGCCTCGGCTTCCTCCTCGGAAGATGTGACGGTGGGATTGAGGAGATCCTCAAAGTATTCCTTCCACCGCCGGACAAAATCCCCAGTCGAGGTCAGCAGCTCTCCCCCCGCACTGTAAACAGTGATGGTGAAGAACTGCTTCCCCCTCCTGAGGCGCTGGACGGTTTGCCAGAATCTCTTCGAGGCCGTCCGATAGTCCTCCTCCATGGCCTCCTCGAACTCCTCCCGGAATCCGGGAGAAGTCCTCCCGGAGGTGCAAGTTGAAAGTCCCTCTGACAGAGGGCTCCGCCAGACGTTCCCAACAGACCCTCACTACACGCTTGGGCCTGCCAGGTCTTTCCGGCTTCCTCCTCCGCCAGCGAACCCAACTCACAACCAGGTGGTGATCAGTTGACAGCTCAGCCCCTCTCTTCACCCGAGTGTCCAAGACACACGGCCGGAGGTCAGATGACACGACTACAAAGTTGATCATCGACCTCCGACCTAGGGTGTCCTGGTGCCACATGCACTTATGGACACCCTTGTGCTCAAACATGGTGTTCGTTATGGACAAACTGTGACTAGCACAGAAGTCCAATAACAAAACACCGCTCGGGTTCAGATCAGGGAGGCCGTTCCTCCCAATCACCCCTCTCCAAGTGTCACTGTCGTTGCTGAAGTGTCACTGAAGTCCCCCAGGAGAACAACGGAGTCCCCGGTCCGTGCACTGTCTAGTACCCCTCCCAAGGACTCCAGGAAGGCCGGGTACTCAGCACTGCTGTTCGGCCCGTAGGCCGACATCACATTGAGAGACCTGTCCCCGACCCGAAGGCGCAGGGACGCGACCCTCTCGTTCACCGGGGTGAACTCCAACACACAGCGGCTGAGCTGTGGGGCAATGAGCAGGCCCACACAAGCCCGCCGCCGCTCCCCGCGGCCAACGCCAGAGAAATGGAGAGTCCAGCCCCTCTCAAGGAGTTGGGTTCCAGAGCCCAAACTGTGCGTGGAGGTGAAGTCGACTATATCTAGTCGGTAACGCTCAACCTCCCGCACAAGCTCAGGCTCCTTCCCCCCCAGCGAGGTGACATTCCATGTCCCCAGAGCTAGTCTCCATGTCCGGAGATCCGGTCGCAGAGGCCGTCGACTGCTGCCCAGATCTCTCTGCACCGGCCCCATATGGATCCTCCCGTGGGTGGTGGGCCCACGTGAGGACTAAGCCCGGCCGGGCCCCGTGGTGTAAGGCCCAGCCACCAGGCGCTCGCTGACGAGCACCCACCCCAGGCCTGGCTCCAGGGTGAGGTCCCGGTGACGCCAATCCGGGCGACGTCGCTGGCCTCTGAGTGGACATCATCATATAGGGCTTCTGAACCGTTCCTCATCTGACCCGTCCCCCTGGACCTGTTTGCCTTGGGTGACCCTACCAGGGGCATGAAGCCCCCGACAACATAGCTCCCGGGATCATTCGGGCACTCAAACCCCTCCACCACGATAAGGTGACGGTTCAAGGAGAAGACAACAACATCTCCATGGAGAAAATGAATGCAGAAAAAAGACTTGATTCATGAGGATAGACTTTATTAAGAACGATTCAGGCTGTTTACTGAACTATTAGTAAGGCTGCGATTAGATCAGGAATCAGAATATACTAGACACTTTGCAAGAACCCCGGAAGTTATAGACCGTGCACCGACCAATCAGCTGTGAGCTGTGTGGAACAGCACAACAGTAAACAAAGCGGTCGAGATGAATGCAAACGAAGACAAACATTCTGTGTTGGCAACAATTCCCCAGATCGAGGATTTAAAATTAAACTCCTGACAGGACTGTGGCACCAGAGATGTGCTCTTTAAATCCATTTTCTTTTTTTTTTTTCTTGAGTTTTCAGAACATCTTAACCCTTTTTCAGAGATTGCTAATGTGTGCATTGTGTCTCCATGGTAACTGCTGCACATTTGGCCAACAGAGATACATGTAGAACACCCCAGTGATGTCAGTAGGGCTGCTTTCTTCAGCACTGGCCCAGTATCTTAAGTTAGAGGTGCCTGATTTTACAATGTGCATTAAAACAGATCTGATCCTAATCTGATTTCTAGAGTGATCAGATTATTCAAATATGTCAAATTGTTTTGACAGATTTAAATGAAGAAAATTATGCAAAAAAATGGCAAACTAATGTGAAAAATGAAAGCTAAAATTATAACTACTCAAAGAGTCCTTCAAATTCATTGTACTTTATCAGATCCTCTAAAAACACTGATTCACGGACACGTGTCACCAGGTGGTTCTGGTGATCACATTTCTCCTGCGCCGTAAACACACCAAAATCAGATCTGACTATTGAGTAATCTGATTACTCCAGTGTTTAACCATGGGTGTCTCACCTGGTTTTGGGCGACGTGGTCAGCCACTCTTCATGTTTCTCAAACGTGATGAGGTACGCCGCAATCTCCTGGACAAACAAACAAACGATTCATTATGAATTATGGTTCATTATTTTCCTCTTTGTTCACAGATAAACCTGAGCTCACAGACTCTTTGCTCTTTTATAACTTTGATACGAGTGGAAAAGTTCCAAATGGTGGAATGACACGTGTCCTGCTCCATTCACCTCCAAATATTTATTTGCTTGTGGTGATGTGAGCAAAAAACCTGTGGTAACAGGTTCTCATGGTAATGAGAATAATGTGTTTTTATGTATTTCAAAAAAACACACAGTGAATGTGTTTCGTGTGTGTGCTCTGTAGTTCTGACCTCTGACCCCTGTGGATCATTCTGTTGTTGAACATTTTATATCACAACATTCATCTAAAACAAGAAAAGAAAGTGCGCTGACTTCTGCGTTACAAAACTGTGGTGTCCAATGGAGCTGACGTGGCCGTAAACGTCATTAAACCAGGACTGAACCAGGACTGAACCAGGACCAACCCGGGATCAAACCAGAACCAAGATGCACATCACACTAGAGCAGAGTGTTTTTTTCATGTACAATATCTGATTTTTCATTTTATTACATGAAAAAAATAAAAAAGTGTTAGAATCCGATTTTTTGGCTTCTATGTGACCTGTATCCGATCTTTTAATGACAGTCTGAACGGCACAGATCCGAATTTTTCAAATGCGACCCAGGCCACTTGGATATGTGGTCCTGAATCCGATACATATCTGATCTTTTGACATGCGACTTCAGTCTGAACGACCAAAGTGCATCCATCCGACCTACACGTCATTAACAAGCGACAAACGTCACTATTCTGCGCTGAAGCAGGCGGAAACCGGAACTGTAAAATCGCCAGGTGCTCAATGCTCGCGACCATATTTGGACAACTTCCGTAAACACAGAGCACGCTCGCTGCGGTTGACGCATGGGGTTGACGTCATCGTGTCCTCCAGTGCGCATGCGGGACACTTTCGGGCCGTTTACCGTTCACACTGAAGTCACAGACAAGTTGCATTTAATTAGAAATGTGAACGACCTCGCAAAAACATCGGATTTCACAAAAAAATCGGAATTGAGCATTAAGCCCTGCAGTCTGAACGTAGCCTCAGAGCGTCGTCATACAGTAGAAAAGAAAAGGTAATAACATTGGAGACAAGCAGGTGGCCTACCTTCACTCATAATAATAGTTAGTAATAGCAGTAGTATAGTAGTAGTAGTAGTTATAGTAGTAGAAGTAGAAGTAGTAATAGCAGTAGTAGTAGTAGTAGCAATAGAAGTAGTAATAGCAGTAGTATAGTAGTAGTAGTAATTGTAAGTAAGTAACAGTCTTGGGGACAATATCCAATCAGGGTCTCCAATAGAATGATGCCTTCAATCTCTTCTCTCTTCCTCCATTTCTCTCTCATTCTACCCCCTTCCCTCGCTCTTTCTCTCTCTCTTCTCCTCCTTCTCTCCCTCTTTCTTATCCCTCTCTCTCTCCCTCTCCCACTCCTTTCTCTTATCTTTCTCCGCCCCTTGCTCCCTCTTTCTTTCTCTCCGCTGGGTACAAACTGATGGGAAAACTTGTGTAGTACTTTGCACTTTCTTTGCTGTGTGTCAGATAAAAGTTGTTTCCTGAATCCTCAGGCGACTCTGCTCATCTGCTCCACTCCACCACAAACTCTCACACTGGTATCAAGATGAGGAAATACTACTGCTCAGGTGGGAGGAGAAGTAACAGCAGCAGCAGTAGTAGTAGTAGTAGTAGTAGTGGTATTAGTAGTAGTAGTAGTGGTAGTTGTGGTAGTCGTAGTGGTGGTAGTAGTAGTAGTAGTAGTAGTAGTAGTTGGTAGTAGTTAGTAGTAGTAGTAGTAGTGCTAGTCGGAGTAGTAGTAGTGGTAGTAGTAGTGGTGGTAGTAGTAGTAGTGTTAGTAGTATTAGTAGTGGTGGTGGTAGTAGTATTAGTAGTGGTGGTGGTAGTAGTAGTAGTAGTAGGTAGTAGTAGAGTAGTAGTAGTAGTAGTAGTAGTAGTAGTAGTAGTAGTAGTAGTAGTAGTCGGAGTAGTAGTAGTGGTAGTAGTAGTGGTGGTTGTAGTAGTAGTAGTAGTAGTAGTAGTAGTAGTAGTAGTAGTAGTGCTAGTCGGAGTAGTAGTAGTGGTAGTAGTAGTGGTGGTAGTAGTAGTAGTGTTAGTAGTATTAGTAGTGGTGGTGATAGTAATATTAGTAGTGGTGGTGGTAGTAGTAGTAGTAGTAGTTGTGGTGGTAGTAGTAGTAGTCGGAGTAGTAGTAGTGGTAGTAGTAGTGGTGGTAGAAGTAGTAGTAGTAGTAGTAGTAGTAGTAGTAGTAGTAGTAGTAGTAGTAGTAGTATAGTAGTATTAATAATACGCCGTGTACTGAAGGAAGTGTAATGATGATTAGAATTTGTCTGGTAAAACTCATAGATTTTTCACACCCCAACTGAGTTTAATCATCTCACGAGTTCATTTATAATTTATTTAACGCTCACAAAAATCAACCTGATGATGTCACAAAGTGGGAGCAAGTGTTTTGAGCTCTGGAGAGAAAGGAAGACTAAATTTACAGGAGCAACTTTAACTTAGCCTTAGACAAACTTCATTGATCCACAAGGGAAATGATTTATGAAGAATGACTTAAGACGACATCCACATTTGACTATGCAATGGTGTCTTTCTTTCTTTCCTCCTCTCCCTTCATCTCTTCCTTTTCTCTCCTCTCATCTCTTTCTCCTGTTAGTCTAATGGCATGTTTGTGATTTGTCATTTTAGAGTAAAAGCACTTTAGCCCTGATCATATAAAATGAAGAGAGGGGGAGAGAATGAGTGGAGAGAGGGAAAGGGGGAGGAGAAAGAGAAAGAGAGAGAGCAGTCACAGAGCCATGGTCCAATTAAAGATGTACTTCTTTTTCCCCTGTCTACTTCTCCCTTCTCTCCTCTCCTCCTCACCCTCTTCTACTGCTCTCTCTTCCCTCCTTCTCTCCCTCTCCTCCTCTTCTCCTCATCCTCGTCGTTATGACATCATCTGAAAAGCAGCATGATGTCTCTCTCCACGTCTCCTGCATCTGAACTTCAAATCATGAAGCTGGGGGTGTTCTACATGCGTCTTTATGGTAGAATGTTCGGCAGTTATCATGGTGACACAATGCACTCATAACGAAACAAAAAGCAAAAAAGTTTTCAAATCATCTGAAAATGTTCTGAGGCTGTGGAAGAGTCTGGATCAGTCTAGTAACTTACTTTGGATTGATCTTTTATGACATGATATAACAGACTTTTCCACAGCCTCAGCTCAGTTCTCTTCACTAGTTTTCTGGAGTTTTGTTAAAGTCTCTGTCATCAGCTGAGCACAAATGACCTCAGAGAATTTCCACAAAAATAATCATGATTTTAGAAATACACTCACACAAATGAAAACATAAAACACACAAAACAGCACAAACAGAATCCAAACATTTGGTTTAATGTTCTGCTGTTTTGAGACTTTCACATTTTGAGGGGCTGGACGACGTCATAAGCTCAAAATAAAACTGCCAATACATGCATCATGAATCTCGGACTTCTGGTCATTGTGCAATGCATACTGGTTCTGATATTGTCATATTTTAGTTTTGGGATTCGGACATCGTAATTGTGTGGTTGTTGGATCCTAACAGCGGAAAACAACTCGAGAAATTTGTTTGCGAATAACATAAATGCAAAAGGGAATCAGATGTGTGTGACTGCAAACCTCTGTTCAAACTGTTTCCCTTCCCAACGGAATTGAAAAATAGTGAAAGGTGAAGGCGATGGGCAGGAATGATCCACAGGAAGGACCAAAAAGGAAACCTTTGACTGCCTAAATCATCCTGAGTTTGCAGTGAACATTTTGTATGTGGAGCGCCAACAAAAAAAATCCCGTTTGTTAATCGAGAGGTGCAGAAGACAAACAGACTTCGCTGCACTTTCTTCTTCTTGTGGTTTTACAGCAACATCACGTCTTGGTCTCTTTGCAGTGGAAGGTGTTTCTTGGTGAACAGCTGGTGCCTTTCATTTTGGCGTTGATTTTTAAATTCACAACTGAGGTTGAGTGAGGGATCAGGATTTTGTTTTGTTGTCGCTCTACATACAAAATGTTCTGTGAAAACTCAGGATGATTTAGGCAGTCAAAGTTTTCCTTTTTGGTCCTTCCTGTGGATCAATCCTGCCCATCACCTTCAACTTCAACAGTTTGAACAGAGGTTTGAGTCACACACATCTGATTCACTTTTGCATTTATGGAGTTCGTAAACAAATTTCTTGAGATGTTTTCCTCTGTTAGGATCCAACAACCACACAATTACGATGTCTGAATCCCTAAACTAAAATATGACAATATCAGAACCAGAAACAAAAGTGATATGGTTCAAAAGACTTGAAAAGATCGACTTTGACAATAGACACATCCCACTGGGAAAACAAACATGGAGGTTTGATGCTCACTTTTTCAGAGGATCCTTCCCAGTATGTAACGGCACCATGACCAGAAGTCTGAGATTTGTGATGCATGTACATCTTAAGAACCAGAATCACAAACAAACTTTTACAGCACAAAACATGAACGTGTGTTTTTGATAAGGACGACTTCATGCAGGTGAGAGTCACACACACGCACGCACACGCAGACACACACACCCCGTCACACACAAACACACACACGCAGACACACACATAAACACACACACACACAGATACACAAACACACACACAAAACACACCCTGACACACCCCCACACACACAGATACACATAAATACACACACAACACACACACACACACAGACACACACACACACACACACAAACACACACACACAGACACACAACACACACACACACACACACGACACACACAACACACACACACACACAGACACACAAACACACACACACACACACACACACACACAGACACACAACACACACACACACAGACACACAGACACACAAACACACAAACACACACACACACAGACACACACACACACACACACACACACACA